CTACAACCAGGCAGACCCCACCCACAGGACTCCCCCGACTCCACAACCAGGCAGACCCCCCCCACAGGACTCCCCCGACTCCACAACCAGGCAGACCCCACCCACAGGACTCCCCCGACTCCACAACCAGGCAGACCCCCCCACAGGACTCCCCCGACTCCACAACCAGGCAGACCCCACCCACAGGACTCCCCAACCAGGCAGACCCCCCCCACAGGACTCCCCCGACTCCACAACCAGGCAGACCCCCCACACAGGACTCCCCCGACTCCACAACCAGGCAGACCCCCCCCACAGGACTCCCCCGACTCCACAACCAGGCAGACCCCACCCACAGGACTCCCCCACTCCACAACCAGGCAGACCCCCCCCCCAAAGGACTCCCCCGACTCCACAACCAGGCAGACCCCCCCCACAAGACTCCCCCGACTCCACAACCAGGCAGGACCCCCACACAGGACTCCCCCACTCCACAACCAGGCAGGACCCCCCCACAGGACTCCCCCACTCCACAACCAGGCAGACCCCCCCCCCCACAAGACTCCCCCGACTCCACAACCAGGCAGACCCCCCACACAGGACTCCCCCGACTCCACAACCAGGCAGACCCCCTCCCCCCCAGGACTGCCCAACAGCGAAGGCGAGTGCCCAAGAAAGTCCCCAGGGCGCCAGCGAGTCTCCACCCATTGGAAGAGGCAGACCCATAAGGTGTTTCACTGACCACAACAGATGAAGTTAGAAATCAGTGACAAGCTGGAAAGTTCACAACAAGATGGGGAAATTAACACATTCTTAACTAATGGAAGTGGGAGCACAGGGAATAGCACATCCTTAGAGACAAATGAAGGCCAAGTGGCATGCCAAGACTGAGGGGCTCAAGCAGGGCCGTGCCAGGGTTCCATAGCTAGAAGCACATTAGAAAGAAGAGAAAGCTCAGGTTAGCAACTTACCTCTGCAAGTTCAGGAACTAGGAGAGGGTCAGGCTAAGCCCAGGGTCAGCCGAAGGAAGGGCACAATTCAAATCAGAACAGAGGTGAATGAAATGGAGAATAGTAAGATACAGAAAGATCCACAAAACCAGGAGGTCATCTGTGAAAAGTCCAACAGAATTGACAAAGCTCTAGCTGGATTACTAGTAGGAAAGAAAAAAAAGACTTAGATCAGAAATGCAAGTGGCATTTTTATGGATTCTGTAGAAATAAGGATGTGAGAGAGTGCCGTGAACAAGTGTGCAACAAACCTGGAAGCCAGATGAGACAGGCAGCTTCCTAGAAACAAACCCGCCGAGAAGAGAAAAGTCTCTATGAGGAGAGTAATTCAGTTCTCCAAATCTCCCAGCAGAGAAAACAGTGTCACCAGTGGTTTTTACCGAATATTCAGAAAATAACACCAGTCCTCAAACTTCTTGAAAAAATATTGAAAGTCAAAGCATGAAAAAGGTATTCCATGCAGGCAGGAGGACCCTCACTGACTCTCCTTGAAGCCAGCGTCACCTGGCTCCCAAAGCCACAAGGGCCCTGCGAGGGAAGGAAGGCTCTGGCCAGTGTGCTTAAGAGCACTGGTATGGGAGACCTCAGTCAGATGCCAGCAGGACAGCAGGACCCCGACCCTGACCCTGACCCCGACCTCGACCAAGCAGGACTTCAACGCCAGGGGCTCAGCACGCAGACCCCATCGAGGTAGGGCGCAGTCAGGGCTGCACAGCGCACCACGGGCAGTTCCTACCTCCCACACTGTATGGTCAGGGTGCGCATGCTGACTGCAGAAGGAAACCCTTATAAAGTGAAAGTGACACCCGAGTTCTCCCTGGACTTAGCTCACTGCTGCTGGTGGGTGGGTTGGCATGAGCGCAGCCTCGGCAGCCATGCGGCTCCCGGGGGCGGGCCCAGCCCGCCGCCAATTTCTTCTTCCTTCAGGGTTCTTGTAGAATCCAAAGACTGAGATCCACAGAGCACGATGAGTGTACCAGTAGGATTTACTGACGATCAAAACTTGTGCAGTAAAAGAAAGGACTCTGAGCGTGTTTCCTCGGAAGGTGTGCCGGTCCCGGGGTTTATATAGCACACACGGCACTGCTAGGGGTCCAGACTTACGCAGATTATGCTGAGGATGTACCAGTGCTATTGGCCCAAACTTAAGCCAGTTGGGTTTGGAAACATTCTAATGCTATTGGTCAGTTCTGGAGTCCTGCTTCCATTCAGGTCTGCCCACTTCCATGTTCTCCTGGCGGGTCAGGAAGTGGGAGGTTGGGGTCACAGGCTGCAGCGTTGTGTTGAGCCTGCTCCTGCAGCAGGCTCTGCGCTGTGCCAGGCCTGGCCGCCCTGCAGTGGCCGTTGGGTGGTCTTGGCCCCCTCAGGGCGCTGAACTGCTGTGCCTGCATGGGGGGCTCCGTGTTGCCATGGGGTTGCTCAACACCCCTCTCCCACCCACCCAGGCCGCCCTCCACCAGTGGCCCCGCTGTGCCGGGAGCTGTATCTAAATGACGTCCTGCGAGGTCAAGACGGAAGGCCTCTGCCTAAGGGCAGGAGGCGGTGCCCACCTCTGCCGCTCTCTTCAGCATGGCGCTGCAGGGTCCAACCAGGGCGACCAGAAAGGAGAAACACGATGCCCCTGTTGGGAAGGAGGAAGCAGAGTTTGCCAGTTGCAATGACAGACAGCCTTCTGTGTTGAAGACCCCGAGGCCCCTACAGCGCTGTTAGGAGAGCCACAGAGGGCCACACGCGTGAGCAAGGCATGGCGCTTCTGTGCCTGATGAAGCGGATGGCAGGAAGCCGGCTGCACAGTACTGTCCCACGTGCCACAGGGGGGAAGGCACGGGCAGGAGGTCTGCAGGACTTGCTGAGAGGGGTCAAGACCAGGGAGAAGGGTGTCCGGGACTGGACACAGCACTGTGAGTCCGCTTCCTGGGCCTGGTCTTGGGCCACGTGCCGCCCTGTTGGAATCCTGGGCTTTGTCTGCCGGAAGTCTCAGGGCTTTGGGAATCCCATGAATCCCCAAGACCATCCTGCAGGAGCAGAGACGGAGAACTTCATGCTTCACTCCTCACTTCAAACCTGCCACAAGCCACCGTCGCCAACGTCCTGACGCCAGCAGGACAGCCAGGACGCCTCGCATCTGAGCCAGCTTCTGACGGCGGTCCCAAGGCCGGTGGTCCACAGGCAGGTGCGTGGAGCCCACTCTGTGTGGCCACGCATGGACGTGAGACGGGAGGACAGTGACCACAGCACACAGTGGATGGATGCTGGTCTGGACAGGATGCCTTCAGCCCAGGTTACCAGGGAGCCACAGGCGGCGGGGAAGTCGGAAAGCCACACCTGGTAGGGCTCCATGCAGAAGGTGGAGGGATAAGCAGACAGACCGACAGACAGGCTCCCCTCCAAGGAAGGGCAGGGGCCAAGAGTCAGCACCGTCATCACCCTGAAAGTGTAAAGTGACATAGAGACACTGCCGCCTGCCACCAGGATGGCTGCTGGCACTGCTCAGCCCAGCGTGGCCACCGCCAAGAGAAGAGGAGGGGGCCTGGCCATGGCTCTGTGGAAGGCTTGGAGCTTCTGGTAGGTGAGCCTAGGGGGCAGAGGACAGGCCGTGGGGTGTGCCCCCAAGCGGGGTTCGACCCCTGGCCCTTTGCTCTGCTTCCTGGGCAGGCACTCCTGCCTGAAGCAGTGGACCCACTGGCCCCTTTTCCTTTCCAGGACCTTTCCTCTTGGTAAGTCGCTGTGTCTCGGGTACTTGTTATAGTGGCAGACAGCTGACTGCACATGTGTGTGGAGAAGCTGGGTCCTGAGCACTGGTGGGAATGTCACTGCGGAAGACAGATGGCTGCTCTTAGCCACCACTGAGTGCTCTCTGGCACGCGGCTCCACTTCTGGGTACTCAGGGCAGCTCCCGGCCGGAGCCACACGCCAACCTTCACGCTGTGGTGCTCACGATAGCCTGCACAGGCCTCCGCCACCCCTCCTCGGGAGCTCCTGTGACCCCTGTGTGTGGTGACGGGGCTGGCCGTGGGGCCCAGGGTCTGCGGACTCCTGTCTGGAACCGCTGCCCTCCCTCTGAGTCCAGTCTTCTTCCTGTCAGGGGCCGCCCTCCCTTCTGCCTCTGCTGCAGTCAGGCCTTGGCCACCTGGCTGGCCCCTGTCACCCTGCCCCGTGAGTGTGCAGGAGGTGCGAGCCTCACCTCCTTATTGGAAGGAAACGCTCCAATGACAAGTTGACCCCGAGAGGACCTCCCATGCCCAGAGTCCAGCTGCCCAGCACAGCGTCGCTGGGGCTCAGATGGCAGGACGTGGCCCCCACCCGACGGCCGAGCCGGAGTCCCACAGGAGCCTCTGAGCCGTGCTCCGGAGGGCTCTGCCCTGAGGCCTCCCCAAGCAGCCACGGGACCCCTTCGTCCGTCACCGTGTTCCTGGTACTGAGGGGCCTGCTGTGTTCTCTGCCCTGGCTGCCCGCCCTGCCCTTCCTGTGAGGGGCACCTGGGGGGGCCAGGCTGTTCTGAGACCTGGACACGGTGAGTCAGTCTCCGTGATCCCACTCACTCGCAGCGGGCAGTGCAGGCGTCTGGTCCCGCCCAGTCAGCCTCGCGGGAGACCCGAGGTTGGGGGCTTCGTGGCTGTGTGTGCAGAGTGGCATTCAGTGCCGCCTGCTGCAGCTCTCCTTGCAGCGGGCACCATGGGGCTCGGCCCTGGGCCTCGCATGGCTGCTGGAGGAGGTCTGCCTGTGGGCTGCACCATCTCAGGTTTCTGTGAAGGGGTCAGTTTTGGAGGAGCAATCATCCAGGGAAGCTGACCAGTGCCCAGGTGACCTGGCTTCTTGACGCCCGTGTTACGGGCTCCTGACTCCCTCTCCTGCCTCCCTCCGACGCCAGCCTCCCAGGCGGCCCCTCAGCAGGCCTGCGTCTTTTCCCTGGGCTGAAGTTAAGCTTTGAAAGGGGTTTTCCAAGAAGGAAGCATTTGATTTTAGTCCGTTTTTCTCCGTGTCAGGACAGAGGGACTGTTTTAGGTAGAGTGAGAGTCACTTGAACATGCTTTATTTTTACAGCTCGAGACTTGCATTCTTAGGAGCGAGAGTTCCGAGGCACGTACGTGAGCATCCCCACGGCAGTGCCTTGTAGCCTACAGCGCACCGGGGCTGCTTCCTGCTGAACACCAACAGGCCCAGGGGGAGGTGCTGTTCGTGAGGGTGAGGCATGACCTCCCAGGCCTCACCCCCCGCCACTTGAGCCTCCACCACAGCCTCCAGTTCCCTCTGGCACAGGGTGAGCCTCAGCGGGAACAGCAGCAACTCCCGTGGGTCACAGGAGCGCCTCTCCAGCAGCCCAGAGCAGCAGGGTCGCAGGTGACCTGTGGGGCCAGGGAGGTAGGCCTGGAGCCCAGTGGCTGCCTCACTCCTGGATTCTGAGTTTGAATTCCACCTTCCCTTCGTAGGGGTCATGGGGGTTGTCGAAGGTCACGTGCTCCGCGAGAATCTTGCACACGATGACAACCTCTGTGTTGGTGGGGACGTTGAGCAGCTTTGCTGCCACCAGAGGGTTGCTGTAGTGGGGCTGGAGTGGAGGCCAGGGGTGAGATGTTGAGAACCCCGTGGTACAGAAAGCCCAGCCAGGCAAGTGCTGGTGGGGGCGGGGTGACCCGGAACTCCTCCCCCACGGTCCCCATGCTGGTCTGGAGGGACACAGTGTGGGCTAACTGTGGCCAGAGCTGCCTGCAGCACAGAGGGGACGCTCTGAGCGGTACGTGCGGTGGGAGGGGCTCTGAGCGCTGTGCTGTCAGGGAGTTGGACACGCGTGTCTCTGCGTCATCATGAGAATGCTGTTTGGGAGTTGGCAGGCAGTGGACAGGATTGGCACGTCACGGTCTTTGCTTGGGTTTTAGAGGAGAACGGTCACGCTTTTCTTTGGGGCCACTGCAGGCTGCGGAGCGAGGCCATACCTACCTGGGCTTTCTTCCCGTAGTAGGGGAAGTAGTGCAGGCTGAAGGTGCCGTTGGGTGGGTAGTAGGCCACCTGCAGGGGCCCCGCACCCCGGGGGGGCCCGTCCTGTGGGGAGAGCCAGGGCTGAGTTGGGTGCCGGGTGGTGCCTGTGCACAGGACCACCTGCTGTCACGGGCCCCACGGCTTTCACGTGCCTGCCCGGGTGTCCTGGCAGTGACAGGGGCTGGCTTGGAGTTGGTGGCCCGTGGCCTCCCAGCCGGCCCACGCCAGGCCTGCACCACTCAGGAGAAAGCCCCAGCAGACTGCCCCCCCCACCGCAAGGACAGAGGGCCTCGCTGGACGCCACCTGGGGCCACCTGGTGGGACGTGTCCTGTCAGTGGGCCGAAGGCCGCATGTGGACCTCTTGGGCAGCTCAGTGCTAAAAGCAAACCCTAGAATATGTCAGTGGCAGTAGTTTTGGGAAAAAATCTGGGATTTGCCCGAGCGTCCTGCCAACCCCCGGCAGCCCCATACTGGCCTGATTGAATGGCCATGGCTTTTAGGGACCTGAAAAACTTTTGTAAATAATCCAGTAAGAGGACAAGGCGATATGGTACAATGTGGTCTCTCCAGACTGGGGCACCTTGAAGAGCTGGTGAGATGTCGCAGATGCCCCGCAGGCCACAGTGAGGGGCTGCACCTCACCCTGCGCTCGCACCACAGGCCTGGCCATGGGCAGCTGCCTGGGCGTGTCCCCATGAGCCTCCAGTGGCTATACTTACCAAGAAAGTGCAGTCCACTCGGGGGGCCGTGTCGTTGCTGGGCAGGAACCTGACAATCTGGAAGGAGAGGTGTGTGTGCCCTGTGTGGGCAGTGCCGTGGCTGCCGCCCCTCCGAGGAGCCCGTGCAGGTCACCCGCACACTCAGAGCCAGGCCCCAGGTGCAGGGGTCGGAGTGGGACTGAGTCCTGGTCAGGCCACGTGTGGCCTCAGTGTGGTGTGGGTGGGTGGCTGAGCAGCAGGCCTCAGGCCTGCGGCTGGCTTCTTCCGGCCCACACTCGAGGCCCCTCACGACGTGCACACCTGCCCCCGGCACCTGCCCCAGCCCCAGCCGCCCCTCCTGAGCTCTGGGCAGGATCTGCCACTGATGGAATGCAGCTGCTGTGGTCCCAAGGGAGCCTGGGCACGGTCCTCCTGCTAGGCAGCTCTGGGGACACTCTGGCCAGCCACAGGTTCCCGTGATGGGTACCGTGCCCAAGTGTACAGCTCCCTCAGGGCACTGCCGAGAGTCCCAGTGGCCGGCCAGTCTCTGGATCGGTGATCTTGCCCCTTTGCCTAGCCAGTTGCTGCCCCTAGGCCTCAGCCTCCACGTCACCCCCATTGTCCCTCCAGGCCAGCTGCATTCTGCACTCTGCTGTCTGCCCGTGTCTGTTCTCACAGGCAGGAGGGATGGCCCCAGCCTTGGACACCATTCCCAGCCCCAGCACCTCCCACTGTGCTGAGCGGAGGGCCCCTCTGTGCCCGACCCTGGGGGTCCCTGATCCTGGTGGAGGCTCCTGGCCCCTCCCAGCCCCTGCCTGGCCCTGGCGTCCCCTTAACCGCCCTGCGTCCTGCTCCTTCTCAGCACCTCGCGGAGGGCTGAGCCGGTGGCTTAACTCATGGTCAAGAGTCTAGGGTGAGGGGACAAGCCCGGCGCAAAGGGCAGGGGCAGACCCAGGCTCGGCCTCTTGCCGAGGCAGAGGAGGCCAGCCCTCGAGGCTCACCCTGTTCATCTTAATGATGAAACACGGCTTTCCTTCCCCAAAGCCGAAGTCGGGGTCCGGCCGGCCGGAGCAGTTCTGCAGCATGTCTGTGGTGAACTTGCAGGAGAACTTGGTGTGGTTGGGAGCCCTGAAGCTCTCCTGGAAGAAGTACTGCTCAGAGGTGCAGTCCACGTTGTCCTGCTGGGCCGCGGGGGAGTAGCCTGGGGGAACAGGGGCCTGCCAGCGCCGTCCGGCCTCCGCCCTCTGGAGCCAGAGTCCAGCCCTGAGGACTTCGGTGGAGAGTGGGGAACTGGCGAGGGCCGTCCCGCCTACCTGCCAGGAAGCTGTGGAGGCTGTGTGTGAGGCCCGCCCAGGAGCTGCGGTCGGAGACGTTGTAGCAGATCTGCAGCCCTCTCTCCCCATACACGTCCGGCCTCAGGGTCACCCCTGGGGAGAGAGCGCCACGGTGTCTCCCGGAGCCCTGCCACGCGGGGCCCAGCCTTGCACAGAGTGGTTGGAGGCAAGTCCAGCCTGGGAGACTGGGGCAGGCTGGGCTCAGGGCAGGGCCTCTCCCGGGAAGGAAGCCACAGCCAGGCTCCCGATGGAGACTCGGGGGCTCTGAGGACACGTGGCCCTGGGACCCCTGCCTGAGAGCCAGGAGGAGCACGGCTGCTGTGAGGTGGGGCCTGTCCCAGGAAGGTCCAGAGCAGGCCCCGAGGAGCAGGTGGCTGGCAGGACTGAGCTCAGTCACACGGCCGTCACTGTCATGGGCTCAGGGAAACTGCATCTCAACACACAGACACCTTCTCTGGTCCGGCTCAGTCCCCAGGTTGTGTGGGTGGGAGAGTAGGAGTCAAAGCCAAAGCCGTCCTCGCGGCCACGGGTACTGCACGTCCTCAAGCACCCTCCTTCCCGGCCTGCGGGGGCTCACCTCGCGCTCTGGGCCACCCCCATGCTCCCCCATTTCCAAGGCTGCTGAAAACCCCTTTCCTGGCCTCTGGTTCCGGCCACGGCACCACAGAACTTGCTGGTGCACAGTGTCCACCTTGGCAGTCTGCTCCTGTCTACGTGAGAAGAGGCTGGGCTGTTTCTGGGCGTTGGAAGGCAACAGCTCTACCTGGTTTGAAGTGAAAACCTTCGGAGCATCTTAGGGAACCACTGGCACTTCCTCCTCGGCCCCCGCAGCCAGGCCCACCTCTCCCTCATCCTCTGGGCATGTGGGGTGTCCCACTCTGCCCTCTCCAAGTCCTTCCTCCCTTGTCTCCAGGCCCTGCCAGGTTCCTCCTGTGTCCTCCCAGCGACATCCTGCGTGCTCGTGGGCGTGGCCAGCCAGCGAGAGCGCTGTCCTCCTCTCTGACAAGTGCTGTTGTGATGTTAAAGCTGAAGCCACGCCGACTTTGAGATCAGATCTGTCGCTCACGGAGAAAGCTGAGCCATCCCTGCCACCGCCCGCGGGCGGTGGAGCCCGGCTCAGGGCTGTGTCCTTCTGCGCTTACCTGGTGACTTTAGCTGGTCCTGGTAGTCAGGTGTGTACGGGTCAATGGTCTGCATCAGGACGTAGAGGCACAGGGCAAAGAGCCCCGTCATGACCACGTAGAAGGCCACGTAGTACAGGCTGATCCACACTGCAGGAGAGTGGGGCAGGAGAGGGGTCAGGAGAGTGGGGTCTGACTCCAGGGGTGGGTGGCCACCCTGTCTCCAGCAGGGCTGGCACCGCAGAGCTGCCGGGGTCCCATGGGGACACTCCTGGCCAGCAGAGCCTCACCAGGGAGGTCAGGTCCTGAAGGATGCTCAGGGCTCACTCTGTGGGGAGCTCAAGAGCCACCAGCAGGGCATCCCTGGGTGGCTTTGGGCAGGCCTGTTGGCAGCGAGGGCATTCTGTCCCCTGCAGTGGGTGGGAGGCCACCTGGACTTTTTTCTCCCCATCTCCAAGGAAGGGTGTCGGCACCCACTGTGGCCATGAGGGAGGGAGGGACTGCGGCCTGCCGGCCTCACCCTGCAGCGTCTGGCTCACAGAGCGGAGGGCAGCCTCTGGGGAGCCGGAGGCCTCCGGGGCCATCTGGGGACCCTGGCTTCCTGCTGAGTGGCAGGGTCTACACAGATAGGGACCCCCATGGCAAACAGGACCCTGGGGACCGAGGGAAGGGCGCCTCGGGGGGCAAGACACCAGGCCTGTTCTCAGGCCCCGGGTTTAAAGGCCGTACCAGCGAGCAGAGTGGAAAGGAGCCCCGGCCTCCAGGGTCACGAGAGCCAGGCCACTCACTAGGGACGGGGGAAGCCAGCGAGCACAGAGAAGTGCCGGCAGGCCTGACGGAGGCTCCCCGGGGAGGGGCAGCTCCAGGGCCAGGGCGAACGCCGGGGATGTCACGGTCACCCACAGGCTTGGGCCAGTGACACGCACAGGTCAGGCCTGAGAGGGTGACGGGTGATGAGGGGTGTGATGAAGAACAGGCAGACACCCGCCCCTGAGTGCCCACTGGGAGAGCCCCCTCCCCGTGGGTGCCGCAGGGGCTCTGTCCCCCCTGCTGGGGCCAGCTGGGCTGGCCGCATGCCCTCCCTCCAGCAGGGTCCTGTGTGAGCGCCCACCTGGCTGTCCAGGGCCACTGCTGCGTCCCACCAGAACCCGGCAGCCACAGCCTCTCCTGCAGTCTGGTCCTCCTGGCCAGTGGTCTTCTGCCCCCTTCCCACACCACCCTGGAAGGGCGCCCTGAGCAGCGCCCCGCCGGGCCCTCACGTACCCCACCGGATCGGGGTGCGGCCCAGCATCTGCCCCGTGTCGGGGTTCCAGCAGTAGTTCTGGAACTCAGCCATGCGCTGGCTGCAGGACTTTTTCTCCTGCAGCGCGGCCATGTCCCTGGTGATGCCAGCTCCTGCTGAGACGGGCAGTGGCCCTGTGGTCTTATAGTCTCCTGGGCGTCAGAGGCACCAGGAGGCCTTATCAGCTCTCCAAACACGGGGCTGCTCCCCAGGCGCTCCCCTGCTATCACGCCTCCTCCCTGTCCCAGGCACCTGGGTGGCCCCCAGGACACCCTTGGGGTGCCCTTGGCAGGCACTGCTCTGATAGCCATCAAGGGCACGTCTCCCTCAGGAGGCAACACTCAGAGCAGCGGAGGCCAGGCCAGGCCTGGGCACAGCCCTCCACTCATGGGCTTGCTGCCTCCAGTGGCCTGGCAGGGAGGGCGGCCTCCTGCCTGTGGAGCTGGACTGGCCCCGAGGCTCCGGGTCATGGAAGCACCCCCAGCCGTGGCATCTGCAGCTGCCTCCCAGCAGGCGGTGTGGCCATGTGGGGCAATTCTCATGCTCTCAGAGCCCATGAGGACAGTTGGGGGTGCAGGTGTGGGTGTGAATGGGCCACATGTGGAGGGCAGAAAGCCCGATGCTGCCCAGCTGAGACTGCCCATGAGACGGAAGAGCTCCCGGGCGACCCCGTGGGTCTACCTGGACTCCTGTGGTGACCTAATGAACCATCCTGTGCCTGACCTCAGGCCCTGTGCCCACTGCTGACTCGGAGCCTCAGGGTAGTGCTGTGTGGACTGAGGCTCTGGGAGGCAGTCCAGCCCTCACAGCCTGTGGGTGCTGGGATCTTTGTGGCCATTGTCTCCAGACGAGGTCCTTTCTGGAGGCCTGAGCTGTGTGAACAGCACCTCTGAGGTCAGAACAGCCTCTGCACACGCCCCTTAGACCTCAGCAGGTTCCCCGCAACGTTTCTGAGAGCCTGGCTCTGGGCTCGGATGACGGGGACCTCGTGCCCACCCTGCTGCCCCGTCTCTGGCTGGCCTAGTGCAGAGTCAGGGCTCTGGCCACCACCCAGTGGTGTCAGTGGAGACCACATGAGGAGCCCGAATTCCCACCTGCCTAGTTCACAAGGAGGACCTGGACTTGTACCTGTGCACAGTCCTGGCCAAGCCCCTTGTGATGCCCGAGTCAGAGATGACCAGACCGAACAGAGGAGCCAGTGACGTGGGAGGTGAGGTTTCAATAGGTGATGGCTTGTCACTCTGAGAACCAGGAGGATGAAAAGGAACGTGCCATCTGTACCTGCCAACGTCAGGCAACGGGCGTGAGATCGATGGACCTGGATGACCAGTCCACAGCAACGATAGACAGGTCCACGGCCAGGAAAACTGGGACACCTGAGGAAAGACAAGGGAACAGGGACACTGCAGAGGACAAAGTGGACCTGTGACCCCCGTGGCCACCACTGAGTCAGAGCCTGCAGGATCCGCCACGCCCTGCAGCCCCTGGAGCCTGCTGCACGGGCCCAGGCCTTCAGCACAGGACCTGGGGGAGAGTCCAGGGCCAAACCAAGCAGGAGAAACAGAAGAGACGCCAGTGGACGTGAAACAGAGAGTGGTGGAGGGCGTCCATGAGACAAAGGCTGCTCCTTTGACCAGATCAATAGGGTTGACAAACGCCTCGTAAGAGAGGAGACACTGTCACCAGGGTCAGGAGTGAGAGGGGTGTCACCCAGCTCCTGCATGGGGATTGGACTCAGGGGCCCTCGACCCTCAGGTGGCCCTATTTTCTATTTTATTTAGAGACAGGGTCTCACTGAGTTGCTTAGTGCCTCGCTTTTGCTGAGTCTGGCTTTGAACTTGAGATCCTCCTGCACCAGCCTCCCCAGCTGCTGGGGTGACAGGCGGGCGCCCCCACAGCTGGCAACACCCATTCTTCACTCTATCTTCTAGAAAATAGAGGGCAAGAGATACTTCCCAACCCAACTTAAGACCAGTGTTAGCTGGATCCTAAAACCAGATAACAGACAAGTGACGGTGGACCAGTGGCCCTCGGGAACAAGGACACAAATGTCCTTTAAAATGTGGGCAACTAGACATGAATTGGCGTGAACACACTTTATATAAAGATGTGAAAAATTGTGCTCTCTATGTGTAATAAGAATTGTAATACATTCCGCTGTCGTGTATTTAAAAAATAAAATCAATAAAAAAATAAAAATAAAACAAAATAAAATGTGGGCAACTGAATCCAACAATGTATAAAAGCACACTCTGTGTTCAAGTGGGATGCCAAGCGGGTTTGACGTAGAGAAATCCATCCAAGAAACAGCACATTTACAGGACAGAGAGAGAGTCCCATGACTGTGTCCATTGATGAGGACGAGCATCTGACTGCACTCAGCCCCCGAGACAGGAAGCCAAGTGGGAGCAGGGAGTCCACTCAGTTTGACTAAAAGCATCAACCCACGCCTCAACAGGAGGGGGAGCGGGTGGGTTTGCTTGCCCCAGGTGGGGCCGCCGCAGGGCACCCGCTGACCGGCTCCCACTCAGCTTTGCACCGAGGTTCTTGTCAGCACAGCGGACGGGGAGGAAAGGAGAGCATTCGGGGGCAGGAGACCCGCTGCCCGGTCCGCAGGCGCGCTGGCACATGGAGGGGACTGCCGATCAGTGGTGGGGCCAGGTTGCCAGACTCCAGACCAATGTAAAGAGCCAGCTGTGTTTGCAGGGTAAGAAACAGGCATGTGCACGCTAGAATGAAAGTGCAGAGCCGTTACAGGGCTCCAGCCCGAAGGACACCAAGGTGCCGATCTGGCAAGACGCGAGCACGACGGAGGTGACACCCTCTGGGTGGGCGAGGAAGTGAGGTCGGACTCATGGAGGCCCAGGTCCCAGCTCAGTAGAGACGCAGATGTTCCCCAGTCAATATACAGGCCTAAAACAACTTATCAATGTACAAGCAAGAAGCCAGGTGTGGGGGCGCACACCTGTGATCCCAGAAGCTTGGGAGGCTGAGGCAGGAGGACCTCAAGTTCAAAGCCAGCCTCAGCAAAATGAGGTGCTAATCAACTCAGTGAGACTCTGTTTCTAAAAAAAAATACAGAAACTAGGGCTGGGATGTGGCTCAGTGGTCGAGGGCCCCTGAGTTCAATCCTCGTTATCCCCGCTCACACTCACACACAAAATCCAAGCAAGATCACTTTGGAGATAGAGACAGGAATCATTCTAGAATTTATACAGAAAGCCAAAGGATCTAGAATAGGTCGGATATTTTCTTCTACATTCTGAAGAGTTCTTTGAAAATGTTTTTGAGAACAAAGAATATAGTGGGAGGATAGGTCTGCCCAGCTCCAGAGCTGGTTACAGCCCCAGTGACCAGGACTGTGTCCTGAGGCCAGGGGAGGTGCAGCTCAGGGTGGACAGACCCATGCAAATGCGCCCCACCGACTCCTGCAGAGGTGCAGGGGACATCCGAGGCATGGAATAGCCTTGCTCCAGGTGCAGGCAGCTGGGCCTGTAGCAGACACTGGACCCCAGCCTCACGCCTTGCCCACACGAAGCCCCTGGGCCACGAACTCTAGGTGAAACGTCAGGAAAGACACGGGAGGGTCTTCAGGAGCCATGGCTGGGGGAGTCGGGCTGGACACCAGGCCCAGCCTGTGAGAAGGAACGTGGGCAGCTGGACTTCAGCAAGATGAGCCACGTCTGCTCGGTGAGCCTACATAAGGAGACCACAGAGGCAGCGGCCGGGAGGAGACCTGGAAACCACACGCTGACAAGGGACCTGCCCGGGACACAGAAAGTGGACCCTCCAGGTGGAAGCGAGGGCATGCACAGAGGACACCAGCACGAGCCCTCAGGAAGTGCAGGTCGAAGCCACCAGGGCCACCAGCACCTGCAGGACTCTGAGGAGGCAGAGTTCCTGTGGCCCTGAGGGAGGCCTGGTGGGCGGCCCCGGTGGGCCGCTGCCCAGAGAGCAAACACCCCTGCCACATGACCCGAGTGACACTCAGGGACACTCACCATGTCCACAGTGGCTCCTCTCTGGCAGCTGAGCACTGCGGGTCGAGCAGGCCTGCTCTGGGTCCAGGTGGACAGAGGGTCGAGCAGGCCTGCTCTGGGTCCAGGGGTCTGTCGTACACGCCGACCTAGATGGCCCCCCAGAGCCATGTGAGTGCAGAGCTGGTCTGGGGGCCACTGTGTGAATCCACGCAGAGAGCATCCTCGAAATGCCCAAGTGCCTCAGACTGGTGGTCCACGGGGTGGGCAGGGCAGGCGTGTGGCCACCGAGGCAGCACAGGGCCCCGCTGTCCTGCTGTGCTGTGCTCCGGGCTTCTCTATGGTTCCTGCCACGGCTGCCAATCAGCAGTTACTACCGACCAGAGGGTCAGTGGAGAAAGGACTTCCAGAGACCAGGAGTTTGGCCTCGAGGCACAGCTGCCCCTTTCGGCCACGTCTGCTAGGTCCAAGTCACCCTGGGGCAGCAGGAACCTGCCGTCATCCTGGGTGCTCTGTGGCTGAGCAAGGGGCAGCGGGTCCTTTCCATAGGACACCTCTGTGCTCACCTCTAGTGCAGTCCTCTCCCTCAGCCCTGGGTCTCATGTGGGCCATGACATGGGAGTCCCCTGGGAGCCCCCAGAGGTGCGGGTCTGCACCGGCCAGGCCCACCGACATGGGACGCTCCTGCAGGGTCTCTGGGTGACTGTCCTGGCTCGGACACCGGGGCAAAGGCAGCAGAGGCCACCCGTACTAACAATACCATGAGAACCCTGTCCCCTCTGACCCTGGTGACGGGAAGGCGTTAAAGTGGTTGGCCCAAGGTCACCTCCTCCTAGGGGGCAGGGCTGACCTAGTGCAGTCTCCCGGGGACGACATGATGCTGTTCACCTCAAATATTTACTCACTAGCACCTGCCACGGTCCTGCCGGAGGCCATGGGGACGTGGCCGCCCAGCCGGGAGGTTCCCGAGGACTGGCGGGCAGCACCCCCGCCCACCTGCACGAGGCGGGCTGACCACACAGTCCTCCGGCCTCCCTGGGCGTGGGCACTCTCTCTTCCTGGCCTTGTCCCCTGCCCTCTGTAAGTGGAACAACCGCTCTCTGTCTCCTTCTGCAAGCCACGCTGAGCCCTGTTGTAGGCTGGGACCCCGAGGAGCCTGCCCCTGGAGCTGGGGGCTGCCTGTCCTCCCAGGAGGACCTGGCACGCCCTTGTGTGTCCCAGCTACGTCTCAAGGTGTCCCAGGGCGCCCTCCCTGAGTCAGCTGTGCCCACCTGGGGCCTGGGTGTGCCCCTGGTGTGCCGCTGCCCAGGTCCCGGCCGCCTGACTCGGGCTGTGCCTGGGCGGCTCAGAGTCTCCGGCTCCCTGGCTGGCGTCACCTGAGCAACCCTGCTGAGGAGAAAGTGACCTGGAGCTGACCGCTCGGTGTGCCGCGCCCTCACCCCTGGACACCCCTGGACAGCTCTTGTGGGGTTCTCCTCTCTCAGTTCCTAATGGCTGGAGGTTTGCTTCTTGCTGTGATTTCCTTAGAATAAAAATGGATGACCGGCCATCCTCACGGAGGACACCTGCACTGACTCCCTGACCTTGCTGGCCAGGGTCCCACGAGGACAGGCGCAGCCCCCTGGGGCCTGGGTTTGTCCTTCCTGTGGGAAACACAGGTGTCTGGCTGCAGGGGGCTGAGCTGCCCCTGGCTGATCCGCTTTGGGGCAGCTTAGGGGATTTCTTTTTCTGGACCTGATAGCCACCCCCCAGGTGCCCTCCCTGCCCCGGGGCTGGGATTTAGTCAGTGCTGTGTCAGCCCCGGCTCCTCCTGGGCGTCCTCACCACTGCTGGGAGCTCTCCCTGGTCCCCCAAGGGCAGGAGCCGGCCACAGGCCAAGGGCAGCGAGTGGCGCCAAGGGCCTGGCCTTGGCTGATGTCTCCTCAGGCCTGAGCAGGCAGGAGGCAGCGCCAGGATGGACTTTGGGTCTCTGGAGACCGTGGTGGCCAACTCTGCCTTCATCGCTGCCCGGGGCAGCTTTGACGGGAGCAGCGCCCCGTCTTCCAGGGACAAGAAGTACCGGGCCAAGCTCCGGCTGCCCCCGCTGTCCAAGTGCGAGGGCCTCCGGGACAGCCTCAACTCGGAGTTCCAGAGTGTGTGCCGGGAGCAGCCCATCGGCAGGCGGCTCTTCCAGCAGTTTCTGAGGGCTGACCAGAGGCACGAGCCGGCTGTGGGGCTCTGGCTGGACATTGAGGACTATGACACGGTGGACGGTGACCTGCGGCCGCAGAAGGCACAGAGCATTGTGGCCACGTACCTGGACCCCCAGGCCGAGCTCTTCTGCAGCTTTCTGGATGAGGGGACCATGTCGAAGGTGAAGGGGGCGGCCGAGGGGGGCCAGGATGGGCTCTTCCGGCCGCTGCTGCAGGCCACGCTGGAGCACCTGAGCCAGGCCCCCTTCCAGGAGTACCTGGGCAGCCTGCACTTCCTGAGGTTCCTGCAGTGGAAGTGGCTGGAGGCCCAGCCTGTCGGGGAGGACTGGTTCCTGGACTTCAGGGTCTTGGGGAAGGGAGGCTTTGGGGAGGTGTCAGCCTGCCAGATGAAGGCCACCGGCAAGATGTACGCCTGCAAGAAGCTGAACAAGAAGCGTCTGAAGAAGAGGAAGGGGTACCAGGTGGGCACGGCGACCAGCAGCAGGGCCTGCTCTCGTGGTCCAGATGGAGGCTGCAGGCCCTGGAGGACCTGCCAAGCTGCACGCTGCCCTCGCCGCTGGTCCCGGGGCCTGTGGTCCTTCCTGGGTTCCTGGCCGGTGGACCCTGCCTGTCAGGGATTGCTCTCTGGAGTCGGCCCCATCTGGAAGTTCAAAGCCCACTTACGCTGCAGCAGGGGAGGTGCTGGGGAAGGAGGCCGGGCTCTGAGGGAGGCCGGGCTCTGTGAGCCACACGTCTCTCGGACTGGCCTGGCCCGGGGCTGGGGTGTGGGGTTGGCCTCCTGGGAGGACAGGAGTCAGCGTCTTGCCGACTCCTCTGCTGGCACCAGAGTGTCCAGCCAGGCAGGGTCAGCGGGAGCTGCTCAGCCTAGAAGGACGCAGCTGTGAGCTGGACGTGACCACTCCCAGGGTGGTCCGTGGCAATCTTGAAAGGGCAGTTCATGCCAGGCCATTCGTGTCTAACCCTGGCTTTAGCCTCCTGAGGGTCTTGCTGCAGGCTGAGGCCAGCCCGGCCCGTCTTGCCCTGCACCCCGATGCCCCCCGTGGTCTCAGGACAAAGCCAGACAGAGGAGCAGAGCTCTTTGGGCAGAGGCTGGCAGGACGGGGCAGGGCGGCCGCAGGGGAGCTGGCTGGACCCAGGAAGCACTGAGAGGGAGACCAGCACTGCGGCAGGGAGATGGCGGTCGGCTGGGTGGTGGGACCCCCTTGGCTGGAGATGCCCCAGAGGCGCCAGGCCCAGTCCGAGATGGCTTCTCATGCCTGTCCCCCTGTGTGCTGGGTGTGTGGAAAGGGTCTCGAGGTACTTCAATTGCTTCTGAAACTGGGCACACAGTCCTGCGTGAGTCTGGCCTGTGGCCACTGGTGCAGGCGGCCTGGGCCCCTCCACATGCCTCTGGTTTCCCTCCTCTGCCCTCCAGGGCGCCATGGTCGAGAAGACCATCCTGACCAAAGTGCACAGCAGGTTCATCGTCTCTCTGGCCTATGCTTTCGAGACCAAGACTGACCTCTGCCTGGTGATGACCATCATGAATGGGGGTGACGTAAGGTAAAGGGCCGTCCAGTCTGGTGGCCCGCGAGCTGAGCACATCTGCTGGGGCCCCATCAGAAGCCCCTCTGTCCTCCAGAGCTGGTGCCTGTCTCAGCCCACACCAGGACAGCAACCCCGTGGCCCTGGCCAGGCTGGTCATGGGTGCCTCCTGGTTCTTCTCCCTGACCTGGGGCTGGGAGCTGAGGCCGCCCGAGGGCCTCGCGCCTCACACCTCACCAAGGGCTGGTGCGTGGTGATCGACGCCCTTGGTGCCCGCCCGGGAGGGAGCGGCCAATGTGGGCTGGCGGTGCCGCCACCAGCCCAGCAGCATGTGCGCCCTGACCCGTCCCTGGGCGACTCTGAGGCCAGCTGGGCTCCCAGGAAGGTCGGGGGCCAGGGCCTGGAGCTTGGTGTGGGCCTTGGTGTCCTCGTCTGTGAAACGGGACCCATGCCCAGGACACGCTGTCCTGGACCCGGCCTGGGCCGGCCCTGGAGCTGCGGGGGCCCTGGCTGGGAGGCCCACACTGCCTCCTGCACCCGCCCTCACACCAAGGGCCCTTCTCTCTGGCTGCTTGGGTTCCAGTGAGGGACGTGAGGGCCACACAGCAGCCTTCGAGGGCCCAGGGAGGAGACGTGGGCGGCTCTCAGGGCCACCTGCCCCTCCGCACGGGCAGGGCTAGCAGCTGCTGCCTGCCCCTCCTGTTGCCCTCAGCTGGGGCCTGGCCACCCCCCCGCTGCCCAGGGCACCGCTTCCTCAGAGCTGTGGGCTGGGCCTCTCTTGAGACAAGGAAGGGTGGACTTCAGGCAGGACTGGGCAGGGGACGCTGCAAGTCCACCGGGGGCTCGAGGTCGGGTGAGGACCACTCGTGCCTGCCGTGGGCCACGCACGTCAGCAGGGACCAGGCGGCCACTGGCCCCCGTGTGGACTGGCAAGTGGCCTTGGGCTCTGGGAGGACAGGCCCCTTGACCGCAGCTCCTGCCTTTGGAAGTCGTGGTGGGGTGCAGGGAGCCGGGGCCTCCGGCCGCCTGGGCCTGTCCCGGGCAGGCTGTGGCCAGGGTGCCGGTGCTCTGCACGTTCCGCCCAGGTACCACATCTACAGCGTGGACGAGGAGAGTCCCGGCCTCCCGGAGCCGCGCGCCATCTTCTACACGGCCCAGATGCTGAGCGGCCTGGAGCACCTGCACCAGAGACGGATCGTCTACCGCGACCTCAAACCCGAGAACGTGCTGCTGGACGACGGGGGTGAGCGGTGGACGGCTGGGCGGGCCGTGCTTGCACCACTCCCAGTGGTCGCCGCAGGCTCTGAAGGACTGAGGGTGGGTGGCGGACGGCCCAGCACCCTGGTCCGTGGGCCCTAGGCACGGCCACTCCTGGACCAAGGCCAGGGGACCCTGGGCAGGACACAAGCAGAAGTCACTGTCAGCCCTGCTACCCGCATGCTGTGTGCCCCCGGGCCCCTGCAGTCAGGGTGTGTGTGTGGTGTGTGTGTGGTGTGTGGTGTGTGGTGTCTGTGTGGTGTGTGGTGTGTGTATGTGTGTGTGTGTGTGGTGTGTGTGTGGTGTGTGGTGTGTGTATGTGGTGTGTGTGTGGTATGTGTGTGTGTGTGTGGTGTGTGTGGTGTGTGGTGTGTGTATGTGGTGTGTGTGTGGTGTGTGTGTGTGTGTGGTGTGTGTGTGGTGTGTGTGGTGTGTGTATGTGGTGTGTGTGTGGTGTGTGTGGTGTGTGTGTGTGGTGTGTGTGTGGTGTGTGTGTGGTGTGTGTGGTGTGTGTATGTGGTGTGTGTGTGGTGTGTGTGTGGTGTGTGTGGTGTGTGTGTGGTGTGTGTGGTGTGTGTATGTGGTGTGTGTGTGGTGTGTGTATGGTGTGTGTGGTGTGTGTGTGGTATGTGTGTATGCGGTGTGGTGGTGTGTGTGGTGTGTGTGGTATGTGTGTGGTGTGTGTGTTGTGTGTGTGTGTGTGGTGTGTGGTGAGTGTGGTGTGTGTGGTATGTGGTGTGTGTGGTGTGTTGTGTGTGTGGTGTGTGTGTGGTGTGTGTGGTGTGTGTATGTGGTGTGTACGTGGTGTGTGTGTGGTGTGTGTGTGGTGTGTGTGGTGTGTGTATGTGGTGTGTGTGTGGTGTGTGTGTGGTGTGTGTGTGGTGTGTGTGGTGTGTGTGTGGTGTGTGTGGTGTGTGTATGTGGTGTGTGTGTGGTGTGTGTATGGTGTGTGTGGTGTGTGTGTGGTATGTGTGTATGCGGTGTGGTGGTGTGTGTGGTGTGTGTGGTATGTGTGTGGTGTGTGTGTTGTGTGTGTGTGTGGTGTGTGGTGAGTGTGGTGTGTGTGGTATGTGGTGTGTGTGGTGTGTGTTGTGTGTGTGGTGTGTGTGTGTGGTGTGTGTGTGGTGTGTGGTGTGTGTGGTATGTGTGTGTTGTGTGTGTGGTGTGTGTGTGTGTGGTGTGTGTGTGGTGTGTGTTGTGTGTGGTATGTGTGTGTTGTGTGTGTTGTGTGTGTGTGTGTGGTGTGTGGTGAGTGTGGTGTGTGTGGTGTGTGTGGTGAGTGTGGTGTGTGTGGTGTGTGGTGTGTGGTGTGTGTGTATGTGTGGTGTGTGTGGTATATGTGGTGTGTGTGATGTAGTGTGTGTGTGGTGTGTGTGTGCTATGTGTATTTCCTGTGTCCTGTGGGTGTGTGCTGCATTTGTGTGTCCTGTGTGTGTCCTGGGTGTGCTGTGTGAGTGCTGGGTGTGCTGGGTGTGTCCTAGGTGTGCTGTGCGTGTGTGCAGGGTGTGCTGGGTGTGTCCTGGGTGTGCTGGGTGTGTGCTGGGTGTGCTGTGTGTGTCCTAGGTGTGCTGGGTGTGTCCTAGGTGTGCTGTGTGTGTCCTGGGTGTGCTGGGTGTGTCCTGGGTGTGCTGGGTGTGTGCTGGGTGTGCTGTGTGTGTCCTGGGTGTGCTGGGTGTGTCCTGGGTGTTCTGTGTGTGTCCTGGGTGTGCTGTGTGTGTCCTGGGTGTGCTGGGTGTGTGCTGGGTGTGCTGTGTGTGTCCTGGGTGTGCTGGGTGTGTCCTAGGTGTGCTGGGTGTGTCCTGGGTGTGCTGGGTGTGTCCTAGGTGTGCTGGGTGTGTCCTGGGTGTGCTGTGTGTGTCCTGGGTGTGCTGGGTGTGTCCTGGGTGTGCTGGGTGTGTCCTAGGTGTGCTGGGTGTGTCCTGGGTGTGCTGTGTGTGTCCTGGGTGTGCTGGGTGTGTCCTAGGTGTGCTGGGTGTGTCCTAGGTGTGCTGTGTGTGTCCTAGGTGTGCTGTGTGTGTGCTGGGTGTGGCCTGGGTGTGCTGTGCGTGTGTGCAGGGTGTGCTGTGTGTGTCCTGGGTTGCTGGGTGTGTCCTGGGTGTGCTGTGTGTGTCCTGGGTGTGCTGTGTGTGTCCTAGTTGTGCAGTGTGTGTCCTAGGTGTGCTGTGTGTGTGCTGGGTGTGTCCTGGGTGTGCTGTGCATGTGTGCAGGGTGTGCTGGGTGTGTCCTGGGTGTGCTGTGCATGTGTGCTGGCTGTGCTGCCTGTGTGGCCAGGGTGTGCTGTGTGAGTGCTGGGTGTGCTGTGTGTGTGCTGGGTGTGGCCTGGGTGTGCTGTGCGTGTGTGCAGGGTGTGCTGTGTGTGTGTGCAGGGTGTGCTGGGTGTGTCCTGGGTGTGCTGTGTGTGTGTGCAGGGTGTGCTGTGTGTGTGCTGGGTGTGCTGTGTGTGTGCTGGGTGTGCTGGGTGTGGCCTGGGTGTGCTGTGTGTGTCCTGGGTGTGCTGGGTGTGTCCTGGGTGTGCTGTGTGTGTCCTGGGTGTGCTGGGTGTGTCCTGGGTGTGCTGGGTGTGTCCTGAGTGTGCTGTGCATGTGTGCAGGGTGTGCTGTGTGTGTCCTGGGTTGCTGGGTGTGTGCTGTGTGTGTCCTGGGTGTGCTGTGTGTGTCCTGGGTGTGCTGGGTGTGTCCTGAGTGTGCTGTGCATGTGTGCAGGGTGTGCTGTGTGTGTCCTGGGTTGCTGGTGTGTGCTGGGTGTGTCCTAGGTGTGCTGTGTGTGTGTCCTGGGTATGCTGGGTGTGTGCTGGGTGTGTCCTGGGTGTGCTGTGTGTGTCCTGGGTGTGCTGTGTGTGTCCTAGGTGTGCTGTGTGTGTCCTAGGTGTGCTGGGTGTGTCCTAGGTGTGCTGTGTGTGTCCTGGGTGTGCTGGGTGTGTCCTAGGTGTGCTGTGTGTGTCCTAGGTGTGCTGTGTGTGTCCTGGGTGTGCTGGGTGTGGCCTGGGTGTGCTGTGTGTGTCCTAGGTGTGCTGTGTGTGTCCTAGGTGTGCTGGGTGTGTCCTAGGTGTGCTGGGTGTGGCCTGGGTGTGCTGTGTGTGTCCTAGGTGTGCTGGGTGTGTCCTGGGTTGCTGGGTGTGTCCTAGGTGTGCTGGGTGTGCTGAGTGTGCTGTGCGTGTGTGCAGGGTGTGCTGGGTGTGTGCTGGCTGTGCTGCCTGTGTGGCCAGGGTGCCCACGGGCAGCGGCCTGCCGGGCCCTGCTCTCGGGGCGAGTGACCGCAGCGTGCTGTTCCAGGCAACGTCCGCATCTCGGACCTGGGGCTGGCCGTGGAGCTGCCGGAGGGGCAGGGCAAGACCAGGGGCTACGCAGGGACGCCAGGTGAGGCCGTGCTCAGGGGAGGTGCGGTGGGCCTCGCGCGCTCAACAGCCAGGGTCCACTGGCTGCCCCTGGGGCCGCCCGTGACGGCTTCCTGTCTGCTGAAGCCGCCCGCGGGGGCGTGACCTCAGGGCCTGGGCTGCAGAGAAGGGTCTGTGCTGGCCTCGGGGAGTCAGGCCTGGGGCCACTGCGGGGTGTCTGCACACAGGCGTGTCACATGCACACACACACACACACACTTGTGAACGTATCCATGACCCTGCCTGTGTGTGTCTGGGTGTGCAGGTATCTGACCCGTGCCTCTGCATGCAGGTCTGTGCACTGGTGCGATCTGTGTGTCTGGCATGTGCGTGTGTGCGTCTGTCCTGTGTGTCCTGTGTGTGTCCCTGCGGGCAGGGAAGGAGCGGCAGAGCTGAGAAGGGCAGAGTCCAGTGGAGACCCCTCCTTAGTGCTGTGTGACCTTGGGTGATTTGCTTAACGTCTCTGGCCGTGGGTGGACACCACGGGAGGTGTGGTGTGGACGTAGCTGCTTGCCTGGTGACTGAGCCGCAGCCAGAACAGAGGTGGACCCTGCCTGGAGGGATGCCATAGCTGCATGGCCACTAGAGGGCCCCGTTGCCCGCGCTCTGCCGTCAACCTGCGGGTCAGGAGCCAGTCTCTGGCCTTGACTCCCAGCAGCTCCCTGGTCAGCTGAGGCTGGCGGCAGAGGCGGCCTGGCTCCCTGCCAAGGTCTCTGTTGGCTGAGGATGGTGTCTTCCGTGTGCAGGGCGGGCACAGGGTAGGTGCCCGGGCGCTCAGGACCCACCACAGCATGTTGCTGGGCGGGCCCCACGTCCTGTCGGTGGGCCCAGGGCCTGGTCGGGCGGGATGGGCCGCTCCGGGCCGGGGAGTGGTCCCTGGGGCTGCGCCACACTGACACTCAGCTGCAGCTGTGTCTCTGCTACCAGTGTGCTGGCCCTGGTCGGTGCCCAGGGGTCCGTGGGGGAGGTGGGCAGGACCCTCTGTGATGGACCACCTGACCCCCAGGCGAGGATGGCCTGGTGGCAGTTCAGGGCAGGCCTGGGGCCCAGCTGGCCACTTGCCTCCTGGTCAGCCGGAGGAGAGGAGCTCTGCTCCCTCCTCTGCACAGTCAGGGTTGACTGGTGGCCTGGAGGGTGCAGGAGTGGGCTCAGCTCAGCAGGTGCTGGACAGGTGCTGCCAGGCAGCGCCCGGCTGAGGTCTCCCTGCAGGACGCCTGCCCTGCTCTGGGAGCGTCCCGTGGGTCTCGGCCGGGCCAAGGTGCCTGGCCCGTTCCTGGGGTGCCTGGCTGTCCTTTGGGGGGCCTGGCCAGGGTCTGTGCTCTTGGTCCTTGCCTGGAGTGAGTGAGAAGCCCGCAGGGCCGTCTCTGCCCTCGGCTGGCTTGCCCGGCGTGTCCTGCAGGGTCCAGGGAGGGAGAGGAGGCCCAGCCCAGGGGTGCGGGGCTCGGGTTCCCGGCCATGGGACGCTTGGCCAGGGAACACGGGCTGAGCCGGGTACTGTCGTTGTCAGCCCGGGGTGCTGCAGGCCTCCAGGGGTGGACAGCAACAGGTGCCAGTGTCCCCGAGGGTCAGCAGTGCTGAGACCCTGCGGGGTGGGCTCGCTCAACCTGCAGCTGTGTCCCCGCAGGCTTCATGGCCCCCGAGCTCCTGCTCGGCGAGGACTACGACTGCTCTGTGGACTACTTTGCCTTGGGGGCCACCCTGTACGAGATGATCGCCGCTAGAGGTCCTTTCCGAGCCCGAGGAGAGAAGGTGGGCGCTGCCCAGTGGGGGTCTTACCATGGCCTCGTTGGCTGGGACATCGTGGGGTGGTTTAGAGGACCACTGGGGGTGCAGGCTCAGGTCAGGGGTCTTGCTCCTGGTGTTGCTCTTGAGGGTGACACCCTAGGACCCTAGAGACCATCCAGGCTGCCAGCTCCCAAGGCTGCAGGTCCTTTTGCCCCAGAATGAGAGGTGGCAGAGGAAGTGTCCCCACAGAGCCTGCTGCCCTCCCCTTCTGAGTGGCAGACTGAGACCTGAGACTCATTCATGGGCCCTGTTCACAAAAGGGCTGCTGCTGCACCATCCCAAGGCCTGGCCACCCACGGCTCCGTAGCTCCCTGGCTGCCAGGCCGCTGTTGGGCACACAGGTCACAGTGGCTCATGCTCCTGGGACAGCTGCTACTTTTCAATTTAGTACAGCCAGCTCCCCTCCTCCGCACACTTCAAATTCCTGCTGCCTAGCATGGGCACAGAGCTGACCTGAATGTCCTGGAGGGAGGTGGACATCTCGTGGTTCCTGTTCAGCCCCGCCCCCCAAAGCATCTCAGAACTTTGGCTTTCCTGCCACTCAAACAAGAAAGAGCCCCTGAAGGTGGCTCTGCCGGGCTCATGGCCAGCAGGGTGGCTCTAGGTGTATTCCCTCCACAGGTGTGGACGGAGCTCGGGGGCTGTGTGGCCGAGGCAGGGCAGAGCTAGAGCCAGGGGCCAGGATCTCTGTGGTGTCCTGCCAATGGGAGCAGCACCTCACAGTGCCCTCAAATGCAGCCCTGTCCAGCTCTGAACCCACCACCCCACGGCTGCCTGGGGGCCTGGCCCTGACTGGTGGGGTTCAGTCCCCTATGCTGGTCTCCCCAGGATGGGCGTTGGAACAGGCTGAATTCTGAGCTCCTGGTGGTCAGTGTCCACGCCCCCCATGCTCAGTCACTCTGCATCCACCTCTACCAGTGTGGCAGAGGACTCGCCTGCGGGTGGGCTGCTGGGGTGTCGGGGAGGAGCGTCCAGCCTGGCCTGTGGGTAGGCTGCTGGGGTTTGAGTGAGCTGTGTCCAGCCTGGCCTGCGGGTGGGCTGGGGTGTTGGGGAGGAGCGTCCAGCCTGGCCTGTGGGTAGGCTGCTGGGGTGTCGGGGAGGAGCGTCCAGCCTGGCCTGCGGGTGGGCTGCTGGGGTGTCGGGGAGGAGCGTCCAGCCTGGCCTGCGGGTGGGCTGGGGTGTCGGGGAGGACGTCCAGCCTGGCCTGCGGGTGGGCCTGACACAGGGTGTGTCCACCCTGGCCGGCAGGTGGAGAGCAAGGAGCTCAGGCAGCGCGTCCTCTCGGAGCCCGTTACGTACTCAGACAGGTTCGGCCGGGCCAGCAGGGACTTCTGTGAGGCCCTGCTGGAGAAGGACCCGGAGAAGCGCCTGGGCTTCAGAGATGGCTCCTGCGACGGGCTGCGTGCCCACGCCCTTTTCAAAGACATCAGCTGGAGGCAGCTAGAGGCCGGTACAGTTGGGCACCTTGGGCCTGAGGGACTGCATGGCCCTTGCATCCCTGCCCTGTCCAGTGGTGGGTCCCCAGCTACCTCTTGCCCAGCAATGCCACCCAGCCCTCTGTCCATCCCCAGCATGCCGGGCCTGGGCACTGCAGTGGGCGTGTGACCCTGAGTTCTGCTGTGCTTGGTGTCCACCCTGTGGCTCTGAAGGCCGTAGCCATGGGAGGCAGGGTACTCACACTGTGGAGAGGTGTGGTCATGACCATGGCTGTCCTCAAACTGTGTGTGTCCACCTGTGTCCTCACCGTGTCTTCAAGCATGATGTGCACATTTGTGAGTCTGTGTGTATGTGTGCTCCTGGGTGTGTCTATGCGTGTGTGTCTGAGAGGGACGTGGAAGGCCCAGCTGTCCCTCCAGGAGCCTGGTGGAAGACCTGGACATCATCACGATACAACTGTGCCTAGGACAGAGCCGGGGGCCCGGGGCCAGCTCAGCAGCCTGGGGAGAAGCTGTCCCGGGAAGGTCAGGCAGGGAAGTGGGCTCTGCGTGGGAGAGCCGTCAGGACACAGGCCCCAGGAAGGACGCGGGTCCTGGGAGCCCCAGGACTGTGCTGCGCCAGACCAGGCTGAGTTGGGGTGTCCAGCGCAGCTGGTGGGGAAGGAGCACACAGAGGCCTTGGAGGGGCAGCAGCTGGCCGCCTGCACCCGGGTGTCTGTGTGAAGGCGGGGGCTAGGGGGCGCCCAAGGACCTTGTGCACCGAGGGAGGGTCTGGGGGTCTGCACACGTGGGGCTCGTCAGGGACTGGCATCCTGCATCTGCTGGCTCCTGGGCATGTGAGCAGAGGCCATCTTGGGAGGGAGGGTCAGTGGGGTCAGTCCCCCCAAGCCGCAGCTGCAGCAGCAAGCCCACCTGGGCACGAGCCAGGGGCTCTGGGCCACAGAGAGGTCGAGGGAGCTGCTGAGGGCCGGAGCAGGAGGGCTGCTCTCAGCAGGCTTTGGGGGGGTCTGGGGAGTGTGGGCAAGGGCTGGGTGGCTCATGGTACACTGCCCAGCCCGGCTTCAGGCATCCAGCTGTCCACACAGCACAGAGCACTGGACCCCAGGCCGAGATCTGAGAGACGCTGCTTTTCTCCTGGGCTGCTGGAGGCCCATGCTCTGTCCTCCTCACCTGGGCCTCCTCTCACCTGGCCTCCTCACCTGGGCCTCCTCTCACCTGGCCTCCTCACCTGGGCCTCCTCTCACCTGGGCCTCCTCTCACCTGGCCTCCTCACCTGGGCGTCCTCTCACCTGGCCTCCTCACCTGGGCCTCCTCTCACCTGGACCTCCTCACCTGGGCCTCCTCTCACCTGGACCTCCTCTCACCTGGGCCTCCTCTCACCTGCCCTCCTCACCTGGGCCTCCTCTCACCTGCCCTCCTCACCTGGGCCTCCTCTCACCTGGGCCTCCTCTCACCTGCCCTCCTCACCTGGGCCTCCTCTCACCTGCCCTCCTCACCTGGGCCTCCTCTCACCTGCCCTCCTCACCTGGGCCTTCTCTCACCTGGCCTCCTCACCTGGACCTCCTCTCACCTGGCCTCCTCACCTGGGCCTCCTCTCACCTGGACCTCCTCTCACCTGGGCCTCCTCTCACCTGCCCTCCTCACCTGGGCCTTCTCTCACCTGGCCTCCTCACCTGGACCTCCTCTCACCTGGGCCTCCTCACCTGGACCTCCTCTCACCTGGGCCTCCTCACCTGCCCTCCTCACCTGGGCCTCCTCTCACCTGGCCTCCTCACCTGGACCTCCTCTCACCTGGGCCTCCTCTCACCTGCCCTCCTCACCTGGGCCTCCTCTCACCTGGCCTCCTCACCTGGGCCTCCTCTCACCTGGCCTCCTCACCTGGACCTCCTCTCACCTGGGCCTCCTCACCTGGGCCTCCTCTCACCTGCCCTCCTCACCTGGGCCTCCTCTCACCTGGCCTCCTCACCTGGACCTCCTCTCACCTGGGCCTCCTCACCTGGGCCTCCTCTCACCTGGGCCTCCTCACCTGCCCTCCTCACCTGGGCCTCCTCTCACCTGCGCCTCTCTCTGTACCCCACAGGACTGCTGACTCCTCCCTTCATCCCTGACTCCAGAACTGTCTATGCGAAGAGCATTCAGGACGTGGGTGCCTTTTCCACCGTCAAGGGTGTGGCCTTTGACAAAGCAGACTCGGAATTCTTCCAGGAATTTGCCTCGGGCAACTGTCCCATTCCCTGGCAGGAGGAGATGATCGAGACGGGCATCTTCGGGGAGCTGAACGTATGGCGCCCTGACGGGCAGATGCCGGATGACATGAAGGGAGTCCCCGTGGAGGAGACGGCCCCCGTGTCCAAGTCAGGAATGTGTCTGGTCTCCTAGCCACGCTCCCGAAAGGAGCAGCTCTGGGTGGACATGCAGACCTCTGGGTCAGCCCGTGGCCCCCAAGGGCGGGCACCAGCTCCCTTCCCCCTTCTCGAGGTCGAGAAGCCTGCCCAGCCCAGAGCAGCTCAGCCGCCCCCAGGAGCCCCGGGCCCACCAATGTGGTTGTCCACCTTCTCATCTCATTTCACTCAAAAGAGGCAGGAAAACGTTCCAGGTGCAATAAGGGCAGCAACAGACGGGCCCAAGGCCTTGCAGAGATGCACCAGAGGACGCCCTTCTGGGCAGTGCTGGCCAGGGTGCAGTCAGAAGCCTGGGGCAGCTTGGGTCTCCTGGGCCTCCGCTGCTAATACCCCAGCCCAGGTCCCTCGGAAGGAGGCCAGCTCTCAGTGAGATGAGGGCGCAAACCACAGCTGCAAGACGCTGGACTCTGTACTGGCCCTGCTCCCAGCCACCGCACTTCAGGGACCCCCACTCGGGGGCATTGAGTCTTGTGGGAGTGGAGATGGTGGGACCTCCCTGGGCTTAGCTGGGAATCACTGCCTCCACGAAGTGGCAGGGAAGCTGCCTCAGGGGCCAGCGAAAACTGGTGGTGGACACTGTCCTATTTCATCTCCTCTGTCACCCCTGGGGTGGACGTCTGTGTTCTCATTAACACCACCTGTGGTATAGTTGTATAGCTATCTTCTTAGTGCACAGCACCGGTGGTGGACGCCCGTCTCCTCGGTCCACAGCACCGGTGGTGGATGCCTATCTCATCTCCTCCATCACCACCTGTGGTGGACGCCCGTCTCCTTGGTTCACAGCACTGGAGGTGGACGCCATCTCCTCGGTCCACAGCACCGGTGGTGGACGCCATCTCCTCGGTCCACAGCACTGGAGGTGGACGCCCGTCTCCTCGGTCCACAGCACTGGAGGTGGACGCCCGTCTCCTCGGTCCACAGCACTGGAGGTGGACGCCATCTCCTCGGTCCACAGCACCGGTGGTGGATGCCTATCTCATCTCCTCCATCACCACCTGTGGTGGACGCCCGTCTCCTTGGTTCACAGCACCTGTGGTGGACACTGTCTCTCAGTACATAGCACCTGTGGTGGACGCCCATCTCCTCCGTCCACAGCACCTGTGGTGGACACTGTCTCCTCAGTCCACAGCACCTGTGGTGGACACTGTCTCTCAGTACAGAGCACCTGTGGTGGACGCCCATCTCCTCCGTCCACAGCACCTGTGGTGGACACTGTCTCCTCAGTCCATAGCACCTGTGGTGGACGCCCATCTCCTCTATCACCACCTGTGGTGGACGCCCGTCTCCTTGGTCCACAGCACCTGTGGTGGACACTGTCTCTCAGTACAGAGCACCTGTGGTGGATGCCCATCTCCTCCGTCCACAGCACCTGTGGTGGACACTGTCTCCTCAGTCCACAGCACCTGTGGTGGACGCCCATCTCCTCTATCACCACCTGTGGTGGACGCCCGTCTCCTTGGTCCACAGCACCTGTGGTGGACACTGTCTCTCAGTACATAGCACCTGTGGTGGACGCCCGTCTCCTTGGTCCACAGCACCTGTGGTGGACACTGTCTCTCAGTACATAGCACCTGTGGTGGACGCCCGTCTCCTTGGTCCACAGCACCTGGCAAACCTGCACCTCCCGGGCCCTCAGTGACCCCGTAGGCCCACCTCACTGGGCAACCAGAGCTCCATGTCCCTGACTTCCACCTCCTTCCCAGAGGGGCGAAGGCGCCTGGCTGAGAGGCCGTGGGCTGCAGGAGGCTGAGGCGGGCAGCTCTCCCACCTGTCCAGCTGCCAGTGGCCCCTGCTCTCTGGTAGGTGTTCCCACTGACTTCCTACCCCAGCGGTGTCTTCAGGGTCTTTGGGACCTCTACTGGGGGTGGTCTCTCAGGAACAGTCATCCTTCCTGCTGACCCTAGCAACTCACAGCCTTCTAGGTCCTAGATCTGAGGTCCTGCCTGGACGCTGGCCAGCAGCTGCAACTCATCTGCTGTGCTTCATGATCTCCTGGGGAGGAGGGCAGCAGAGACCAGGGCCCTGCTGCAGGAGACTGGCAAGTCTCTCAGGAAGCCTGGACACTGCTCATGGCAGGCCTGGGGTCCTCTGCAGAGAGCCCCCAGTTCTGACCCTACCGGAGACCCTCCTGGGACCCACATCATGCGGTGTCCTCTGTTGCATGGCTGTCGCCGGGGCCTGATGGGCAGTGTTCCACTTCTGACCCCCTGAGACCTGCAGCTGTGGTGACCCTAGCCCCCTCACTTCCATAGTGATTCTAGAAACTGTCTGCCCTCCAGAGGGGAGCAGGGGGAGCAGGAGATGCCCTGGGGAGGTGCAGTCAGAAAGGACTTCGGAGAAAAAGATGGTTCCGTTAAAGGACTATTAAAAATATTAACAAAGAGGGCAGGTTCCTTGGATCGTGGTATGAATTCCAACTTGCATTCTTTCTTTTAAAATTGAACGTACATATGCATGCATGTGCTTACATACACACACCTTAAACACAGCTACACACTCACCCATACACACTCCTGCACACACATGCACACCTGCACACACCTGAACACACACCTGCACACACACCTGTGTAAACCTCTACACAGACCCATACACATGCATAATCTGCCTACACCTGCACACACCTGTCCACACCTGCATACACCTGTACATACCTGTGCACACACTACTATGCACCCCCGCACACTCCAGCATACATCCTAGACATCCCTCATGTATACACCCCTGCATACATGTGTGCACACACACCTGCACACGTGCACACACTTGCACATCCCCCCACCCTTACACACATCTTCATATTCTCCTACACACCCTGGCTGGTTAGGGGGAGCCTCCTGGCTGGTTGGGAGATCTCCTGAAAGGGGGGCTTCCTGGCTGGGCAGCCTCCCGGTCGGCTGGGGAGCCTCCTTGTTAGCTCTGTCCCTCAAGCACCAGGTGTTACCGGGCTGTAAAGGGCAGTCTCTGGCCCAAGTGCTGGGGCACCAGAAGAACGGCAGAGGCAAACCCCCTGCCTCCTGTGGCTGAGGTCCTTGGGACGTGGGCAACATGGACTGTAGAGTTCCGAGGGGCGACTGGCGGAGGTGAGACCGTGGAGAGCAGAGCAGGAAAGGAGTGTGCTAGCCCGGCTCCTGTCCCACCAGGTGGCCACAGAGGACCGTCTCCTCCCTGTTGGAGAGACCTGGGGCAAAGGTGGGGTGGGGCTGCCCAGGGCCTCAAGCCCACTGTGGTGGGCACCCCCACAGAGCTCTGGAAGCACTGGGGCTCCCTCAGGACTCGGGTTGACTGGTGTGGCACCAGGGGCACTTCGGCCCCACCCAGGGGACCGCAGTGTGCCGCACTCTTTGGAAACCCTGGTTACAGCTGGGTCCCACCTGCCCTCGTGCCAAGTGTGATGTCCACCCTGGGTGGAACTCAGTGCCCTCACCCCCAAGGGTCACTTTCCCAGCAGCTTCTGTGCCGGGGTCCAGCCCTGGCGGGATCCAGGGGTCCTGAAGGAGGAGTGGCGTCAGCGAAAGAAGAAGAGCGAGACGACAGGTTGCAAGTTATGAGCAGCGTCCAGAAAGACCTGCTGCCCCAGGGGCCTCTGTTTTATGCCTTTTTATAGGTGTTTTTCCAGGTAGTTAATGGATAGCCTCAAAGCCTGGAGCTTCTTTGACTTACATGATTTTCAAGAGTTACCATCTTTTCTGACATACAGTGTTACCTAAGATATTGAGTACCTTGTTCAAAATATCGTTCTGTAGCCTTAGACAGTCAGGACGTGAGCGTCACATTTTCACCTCAATGTCTAGGGGCTAGGCTGCCAACAGACCACGTGTCTCCAGACTTTTATTCACTTCTAACTTTAAAGCGTACCTAGAGTTATTTTATCAACCTTTAGCTTTAAAGCATACTTATGATTATTGGAAAGCTTTCTTACTTTTAAACTAAAGTCCCAGTAAAACACACTTAAAATAGTGAAAGTCTAGTACTTAAAAGCCTACTACTCTGAAGTGCTTCTAAGATATATCTATATTGATCTTACATCATTTATTTTTAATTTCCAAGGTAATTTCCTTTTTTCATGTGACCTACTTAATTGCTTTCTCACAGTTTCCTTGATCCTTGGTCAAAGCATGCCAGTTCTTATGTCTCTGCAATCTTTAATAAAGGGCAGGCCTTACACCTCCACCCATGTGTCATTTATATTAACTGTGTGTTTTCCATTTTCATCATAAGTTTCTGTGGAAGGCGAAGGAGACTGTGTTGGTTGGTTAGCCTCCTGCCCTCGACGGGGATACCATAAGCTGCATACGGTGTTCCTTGTACTGTGGGCACAGCAATTGTCCTTCTGTAGCTAGGTGTTGTACAGGTTGTGGCTTTAGGGGGGGTTGAGGGGAGGTAATGTAAATTGTTAACATGGGGTAAACATCTCTCGTTGCTCAGGCCTGGGAATGACACCTTGTTTGTGTCCTGAGAGACACTGAAACGCACCTCATGGCCTGTCCCAACGGTGCCCTTGGTCTCATCTGGGACTCTCCTGCAGTCTCGGGCAACACGTACTGTCATTATGGATTGACACGCGCCCTGCTCTCCACGTCATGATGTCATAAACAGACACTTGATCCTCCCCATGGTTCCCGTTTCCAGATGGCGCGGCCCTGCCGCGGCATCCCCCACCTGGGACCCTGTCAGACAGCGGGTGCAGGAACGCCTTCACCACTCTGTCCCATGGAAGGTGGCCGAGGAGCGGGATCTGCCAGCATGTCCGCGGGAAGCCAAGGATGGGCTGATCGTGCCGGAGCCAGGCCCTGCCTAAGGACAGGGAGAGCGGGCCCTGCCGGTGGCCGGGTGGACTGCAGCTTGGGGTCGCGGGGTGACTCACTATGGTGTTGCAGAGGCTGTGTCCTCACCCTTGGGCCTTTGCCCCCGGGGCTCACCTGCACCTGGGCCTGAAGATGAAGCTGCACCAGCAGAGGGTGGTTCTGATTCCATGGTTCTCGGTTTTGTTTTTGAGTAGTTTGTCTTTGGAGACAGGGTCCTGCTAAGTTGCCACCTGGCCTCGAACTGCGGGCCACCTGCCTCAGGCTCCCAGGGGCTGGATGTCAGGTGTGGCCTCTGCACCTGGCTGAAAGGCCTCAGTGTGGAACAGGACACTGAGGTGATGTGCAGTGGGCTTTCAGGGGGTGCTGACCACCCAGGAGCCTGACTGGCTCTGAGAGTGACCACAGTCCCCCTCCTGCAGCAGCAAAATGCTTTTCCAAGTCCCAACTCTGTCACTTCCAAGACACATGGGCTGAGGGGTCAGTGCCAATGAGGGGCAGAGGGAAGGCCGCAGAGCAGGCCCTGGGCTGGGGCCACCTGGGGTGTGAGACCTCCGTGCGCTGCTGCAGTTCAGGGCCACTGCTGGCCAATACCTGACCCCGCCAAGTGCTCCAAGGCCCGCCGTGGCAGGGTCTTGTTTCGGAGGCTGCAGGGCCTGGTTCTCTCCTTTCCGCAGCAGGCCCGTCTCTGGCCTGTGTGGATTTTTGTCTGAATTGAGGTGCTGGACAAGCCTGTGGTTCCAAGTGTGGGGCAGGATGGCCTTCTCTGGGGGGCAGCGCCACCTCCACGTGGGAACTCGGCCGTCTAGCCGAGACGCCTGGTTGTGCCTCTCCTGCTCAGGCCCCTGGAAGAGATATGGGGTATCCTCTTACACAGCCTTCTAGCAGAGTGCTGAAGCCCCATTAATCTTTAAAGATCCGAGGCTGAGGGTGCCTCCAGCCTGCCCCTGGGCTGGCCTCCCACCTCCATGCCGGCAGGTGGAGGCCCCTGCGCCCCCCCGGCCCTGGCTCGCATTATTCAGGGTTATTTGGTTTCAGGAGGAGTCATGTTGGACTCCAGCCCCCCAGGATGGGTGAGAGGTGAGCCAGGCCAGGCCCACGGCGTCTCGGCAGTGACTGTCCCTCGGGAGGGCAGGGCAGGGGCCCTCGGGTGCATCTCCGTGCTCTCTTCTCCACGGCCGGCAGCTCACGTCTGCTCTAGAGTCTCACAGGCCCTGTCTTTCAAATCGACCACTGCAAGGGCCCCGCACGTCCTCCTGCCCTAGCCGGGGAGACTTGGGCTTGGGCCGGCTTGTCTTGAACGGCCCCGGCAGGAAGTGCGGGCTGACCCAGGCCATCGGGACAGACTCACTCACCTTTGACTGGGGTCTGGGGGGCACCAGCTCACATCTGAGGAGAGGAGGAAAAGGTGCCATTCCTTGCCCCCGGGAACCTCTCCTATGAACAGTGGGGTCTCTGGGAGCCTGAGACGCGGGGGTGCCCCATGATTCTCTTGGCTCTGCTGCCTCTCGGGAGCTGTGCCCACTCAGCCCTGACCTCCACGGCCCCAAACCAGGCATGGTAGGTACACCAGTGTTCCCAGCACCTGGGGAGGCCGGGGAGGAGGACTGTGGGTTGGAGACCAGCTTGGGCAAGTCAGCAAGACCCATCTTAAAGATGTCCCTTGAGCCATCCAGTGAAGTCCCTTAGCCCCCAACCCTTAGGCCTATCTGCCACATGTGCGGGTTGCAGGGGTGGCTGGTCATGGAGCCACGTCCCACACCCCATCCATCACCTCCAGAGAGGACTCACGGGCTCTTGCCAGGGCTTCCCAACAGCCCCCAGGTGACAGATGCCAGGCTGGCGGAGGGAGAGAGGGAGGAGTGGGGTGGGCACTTGGGACCGTGCCTGTTCTCTCTGCTAGCCTTCCCTGCAGACTGCTCGTGGGATGGTGGGCTCCCCGCTGTACTGGGACTGCTGCGGTCTCTCCGCTCTTGTGTTTTAGGGGAAGCCTGCACAATCCATCTTCCCAGTGACCCTAGTATCTTGCACACAGAATCTCAGGAGAGACTTTTTGACTGAAGGAAAGTCTAGATCCAGGTGAATATCCACTTTCCCTCCTGGAGGGGCAGTGCCTCGAGAGTCAGACCCACCTGGCTCGTTTCCTACTTGGTCAGCTGCTTGGCCTGGGAAAGGCACTTAGTCCTGGGCACCTCTGGGCACCAGGCGAGCAGGACCGTGGAACAGGTGCACGCAGTGTGCAGCCCGTGGAGGCACTCGGTCAGGGCAGGTCCCATCTCTGGAGCCCGTGGTGCCTGGTGCCTTCTGAGGCCAGGGTTGAGCGCAGCCCATGTCTGGGTGTGAGGAACAGGCAGGAGTCGGGTGTCGGCCCCTTGCTCTGTGTTCATGGGAAGGCTGTCAGGGGGAGCCTGAGGTGCGCTGGAAAGAGGGCACGAGGAACGAGAGCCAGAGCCCACCCAACCCCTCTATTTACTAAGAAAAAGACATCCAATAGAATACTCCACCCCAGCAAGGGCAGGGATAGTGTTTCCAGAAACGGGGGTTGGGGGCAGCCCAATCCCACTGGGTGACGCCCAAGACCCGAGCTGAGGCACTTCCTTGCCCAGTGAAGGAAAGGCCCACTGGCCTCCCGCAGCGGGCGATGCCACGTCGATGCCCTCATCACTCAAGGCTGAGGGGCGTGCCTGGCTCATGTGCAGGTGCATGCCCATCCCTTTAGCCATTTACCCAGGCTGTGCACAGACCACCGCAGCACAGATGGCCTCATCTCATCAGTGCCTTTTGGGAGAGCTGAATCCAGTCACACAGTTAAAACACCCAGATCCCAGACTGCAGCTCCCCGAGGAGCGGGCTGGCGGCAGGCCGGAGTTGGCTGAGGCCACTGCCCGTCGGCCTGGGGCTCTGGCCGGGCGTGGGAGGAGGCTCTCGGAGCATCTGCCTGCAACCTCTGGTTCCTGCCACACCAGCTCCCAATGGACACGAGCTGACAGACAACTTCTGGCTCCTCAGACTGGGAACTGGGCTGGCATCTTCTCAAAACAAACACGAGAGCCTGTCCCTCCCAGGAAGACTACGGCAGCACTGACCCAAGGGCGGCACGGCCGGTCTCAGGTGGCAGTGGGGATTTGGGAAAGCTTGTTCGATACTGTGAGCTTCATAGCTGCCAGTAATCCTTTAAGTGGCCAGTGCCTGATACCTCACAGTCGTGCGTGGGAACAGCACCATCCCAGGAGCAGGAGGGTCTGGCGGGTGTCCACACACAGAAGAAAAGTTACTGGGGCTCTCAGAGTCCACCGCCATCGACTTGGAAAGCTGTGGCTGTCTCGTTTGGGTGTCCAGAAGATGTGGGTTAGGGCTCTTCAGAGAGACAGGACAAATAGGATTAGAGCAGAGACATGATCAGGCGGCAGGCGGGAGGGGATTTGCCAGGGGCCTCACCATCTGCTGCCTGCAGCCAGAGGCCCAGGGAGGCATGTCGTGGGGCAGGTCCCAGGCTCAGAACCAAGGCACCGGGGGATGATTCACAGGCTGAGGTCTCAGGCCTGGCGACTCTGGGTGCTGTCAAAGGCTCGGAGTCCAGGACCCAGCCTCGGGGATGAAGCCGCCCCAGCTCCGGGAGGGTGGGCAGCTTCTGCCCTGCCTGGTTCTGCCCAGGCCCAGTCTGTCCTGTGGGTTGACACACAGAGGCTCACCCGCATGCACGCCACGCCGTCGGGCTCTCAGTACTGCCCACGTCCCCCTGGTACCGTCCAGCCACACCACCCACACAGAGGTGGGCCTTCTCTCCCCCTCTTGTGCCAGTCTCCTCAGGAAACCCTCCCAGACAGGCCAGAGTAAGGTGCCAGAGCTGTCTAGGCGCCCCCAGTCCAACTGACTCTGAAAGCAGCCATGGCAGACACCAGTACAGCAGGCCGTCAGCCTTCCCCGGCCCAGCCCCGGGGTTGTGAGAGGCCACATCACTCCGTGCTTCCACCGGACCGCGCCTCGAGAGGAACAGACACCCGCTCACCAGCGTCCAGCTGGCCCTGCTAAGGCCGAGCGCTCCTGGCAGGGAGAGTGAGAAGACAGGTCCTGGCAGAACACCCAGTCAGAGCTCGGCAGCAGGGAGGACACGGACGCAGCAGCTGCGCTTGCGGACATCGGTCAACACGCCCAGGGAAAGGTGGCCGGGTGCAGGGTCATCCATAGGAAATGCTAGAACTTGCAGAACAGCCCGAAAGCGGGTCCTGGGAGCCGGGGACAGGTCTGCAGAGGAGGCCCAGGAGGGGACACAGTGCACCACCCGATGGCACACCTCCAACCTGTGACACTTCCACGGCAGAACTGTGCGGACCTGGTGTGCCAGGCCGGCCCCCAGAGATCTAAGAC